GGCATATACCTTTGAAGAATCGATATGATCATGAGTATAATTTGATGTGTTCTGTTGACGTCTGTTTTGATATCTTCTTGGCATCGATAGAGTTTACAGTTATCCAATATTAAAATTTATCAGAGTATTACTTTAGGATGAAACTCACATTTTAGTCAAGAATGGTTGATCGCCGATAAAGTTGCTAGGCGCTACTGCAAGCTCATATTGCGCGCTGATTGGTTCATTTCAAGATTGTTTGATAGCACATTTTTATGGCTCAGCTGCGAGAACAGTGACTACCTTAGTAGCGTTTTGTTTAGATATTCAGAATACAGGTCATTAAATAACTGCATAATATTTTGATTGTCGTTCCGTGTAAACTAGTACTATCTGACAATTGATATCCTTAAACACCAGCCAGCTTTAGTAATTATTTTAGGGCCCAGTTTCGGCGAAATACTGCCAGAAGTACCTTTTTGGTTGAATAAAATCAAAGCTTGGAAAACGAGACGAAGCATGTATTATCTAACATGTGAAAAAATCTCTCTCTCTCTGTGAAAGGAACAATCTTGGCCTTCTCTAAGCCCTGAACCTAAACAAATCGATTTGGTGATCCACAAGCTTTTTGCGATTCCATTTCATGTGCGTTGCTTAATATGCATTTCAATGGCGCATAGAAGATAGGAGGGGCACGAAAGATTCAGAGAACCAACAGCCAGAGAAGGATCCTCGAACTCTATTAATTGAATAAAAAACTAAGCTAGCAGTATTTTGCAATTTAGAATGTGGCTTCTTATTTCACCTGTACTGTGAACCTCGTAAAGGTGATGCATCAACAGTAGCCATTGTTGAGTTAAGAGCAACTTCAAAAGACCGTGGTGGTTGGTCCCTGTGTACATCTCTAATAATCCAACTAAAGCCATGTTAGCATAGTTTAGTGGCTTTGAAGTGAAACAGTCAATGGCTTGAAGTCCTATTGTATCGTTATACTCTCTGTATCAATGTAAAACATTGTTGGTTATAGTCTTATATCAGCCTGCAATTGTTGAATAAACAGTTTAGACCGTGATGACGCAAAACTAGTGATAAGAGAGCCTGAAAAGCTGTTTTTGAAGCGGACCCATGCTTTGTATATTTTTCTTTTTTTTGTGTCCTATAAAGACTTCGATGAAAGTTATTTCCGTTTTAATTGCCTTTTATATATTTATATTATGTTGTTGTTTTTATCACTACTTCAAGGTTGTGGTTTTTAATAGATTTTCAGGAAGACGTAATTTATAAAACAAATACCCCAGGCAATCACATGGTTCATTTGTAAAATTTTCTTGGTTTTATTTGCTATTTGCCAGTAATGCCCCGGAAGTGTCTAGCTCTTTTGCGTGATTGAATAAGCAATAAGACACGGGAACAGGTTAAAACATATGAACTTCGAAGAAATTAAAAGAGAGAAAATCGGACTAGCAAGTAGAATTTAAGGAGTTCTGGTTAATCGAAACAAAAAGTTAGGTTTTGCTGAAGACCAAAAGTAATATAATGCATGGTTTTGTTTGATTTATAAATATATAAAGATCTTATTGATAGTATTAATACTTATTCATATTAATCGAAAAGAAAGGTCATGCTTCAGTTCGGGTCAGAAATTGTTGTTAAGACTCATAAAAAATCGTGAAAACTCTCAACGACCATAACATGAAAAGATATGAAGCAACATTACCAGATGCGAGATAGAAGCAGGAGAAAATTCGTTTGTCTGTGCTAAAAAGACGAAACAGTAACATCTTATGTAGGTTGCGTAACTGCTTTACTGATGATGTAGTGAGGTTAGTAAAAAAAAGGGTCAAGGTTTTTCTCCCCTTTTACTGCAGCTTTAAAACTACTTGTTTCGCACAAAAAATGAGGGGGCCATGGCTACCCCAGCACACCGGTGGCGTGTCACAATGTTAAAAATGTTCATCCCTTAATCGAATAAATCCAGGCTGCCCGTTTAATCAAACAACGTACGACCTACATCCTGGTGATTGTTGGCATTAATTTCCTGAAAGTTTTGTCATTTGGGTTCTAAATACTTTGTTACTGGGAAAGTCAAAAGAAAGGCTGTGAAGTAACTGTATCTAACCATGACCTTGAAAAATAGTTCTAAACAGCTATGAATTAATTGGCTGAAAATTTTATGTTTTTCTCCGGAAACAATCCTGACTTTACTTGGCGTTTACTTATTCTATCGCAAATCTTATTGCTTTATTTTTCCTTATGCCTTTATTTGTTGAAAGATTTGTTCATTTTTCAAATGCCTAACCCTGATAACCCTTTTTCGCTGTAAATTTCCAAGTAAAAGAATCTCACTAATGTTTCGCTGCCATCCCCTTTCCTTCTCTCACATCGATAAGCTCACAAATATCTTGGTAGTGCTATGTTTCAGGAGCCGAAATCAGTATGTCTCGCAGCGTCAGCCGCACAACATTCTACCTTTCAGTCTGCTAGGCTGTTTATTACTCGCCTCGACAAGCCCGCATTTCCAGAATGACTGCCACGAAAATCGTCTCAAGATTTAGACCTCGAAATGACAGAAATGCCACCTAGAACTTCCTGCTTATCTGTAGTTTGAGTGGAAAGACCGTTATAAGACTGAAAGCTATCAATGAAAAACTGTTCAATTCCTGAAAATTGAGATCGAATGTACAGGATAATTACGAAAAGAAATTACCCCATGACTAAGCACTTAAGCCCGTTAGTTGGCGGACTAGTAGATGAGAGTCTCTGTCTGATAGGTCAAAATTTTACTTCTTTATAAAAATTGTAATGGATAACTGACCAGCTTCACTCAGATTTTTATCACCCTAATCAGCTGACAATTAAGAAAAAACCGCTATGGATAAAACGGTTTTGTGCCATATCAACAATCTATAATGACATGTATTGTCCAAGTTTTATGATTTATGCAAACGATAACCACTCGATCACACTTTGTTCCCGTCACTAACACTCTGCCGTTCGTGGTATAAAGCTGCTACCTAACTGATCCAGAAAAGGAAGAGGCGCTCTTTTCCTCAATAAACAGCTGTTGTAGATATAAAGTGACACTGACCGAGGTCAAGCGACTTTGAGTGCCTAAACTGCATCTTAAGAAGCTTTTTGCTGAATGAAACTTGTTATCAGGTAATTATGGGATTTTCTAGAATAAATGATATCGTTTATGAAGTTAGTATTTTGTTTTTAAAGGCTGTTAGAGTATGTTCACAGAGAGTATGTTAACAGGCTTGTTTGTGTTGAACTTTGGTTCTTTGTGATTGCTATTTGGGACCTCTTAGTTTGATATAAAAGATAGTTATTTGTTCCTGCAATATTTTATGCTTCAACTCGATATACGAGAAGGTAATTAGTGCAACCGAGTTATTATATTGATTTGCAGTAGAAATAAACTATTTTTGACAGAAATGAGTTGTGCCGCTGACGAGATCATCAACATATAAAGTCTTGACATATTCGTACTTAAGCGACAAGTCTTTATACTGTTGCGTCACAATGTAATTTTCGTTTTGACTTACGTTTCTTATGTGAAGTTCAAGTCAGCGGAGTGAATGGTATTATTCCTACCCCATTAATTGCTACTATCATTTCCTTTTTCACGGAATGCGGGGTTGACGAGATCACATTTAGATTCACATTCATTTGGCTTCAAGCTTTTTCTAAATAACTTTGTCGTTGATTGATATTTTTAGTTTCTTTTATCTATATTGCAATTCGATCCCTCTTCTCTTTGTTCTGGTGCTTGTTTTTCTGTCGGTCTGTTTTCTTTGGAAAAGGTCATTCTTTCGTGTGATATGTTTTGCTTCGTAAAATCGCCAGCCGTTACCAACGAGAGTATCTGTTGCCAAAGTAAGGTTTTATGCTAGGTTTTTTAATCAATTTGGCAGGGAATACTTTTTTCCAGGAATTTTGTGAAAATAATCACAAAGAATTTCGCATTAAATAAGTTTAGAGTCAAAATAATGGACGTATAAACTTAGACAAAAACAGATAAACAAGTAAAATGCGAAAGAATGACGGAAGAAATGACCAAAATTAGGGAGAAAAAAGGAGGTGGTGGAAAAACATGTAAATACTCTAAAAACAAAGAATAAAAGATCGAACAAATAAGCAAATGAAGAATCAAGGGATCAAATAAATAACAACAAGCAAAAGAATGAATAGTATAATTTATATATACAACATATAATTTATTAGGAAGAGGGAATTTGACTTTGAAGAGGATAAAGAATCACCGTGGAAGCAACGAAACCGACAAATTAATGAGTCAAAGAAGAATAAGTAGGCAATAACTGAAACCAGAAACAAAGTAAACAAACTCGCTAACGAGCAAAAAAACGCCAGTCGATAGTAAAAGTATAAATTAATGAGCTGATCAAAGCACAGATATCATATTTATTCAAACAATGGTCATCTCGGCAGTGAAATTAAGACAGGTGAACAAATTATAGTAAGCAAATTAAACACGAGAAAAATAGAAAGTCATGAAGGAACAAATATAAACATAAATATTGGCAAGTTGACTATGCAGCAAGCATAGAAGCATGATACAGGACAGCTTAATTAACTTATCGCTTAAATGGATCAGAAAAACCAGTGCCCCAGGTTTACAATGTAGTTTTTGTATTTGTACAAGTGGGAAAAGATGGGTGCATTGTTTATTTGATCAATTAACATTGAACGTATGTTGCATTTCAAAATTCTATTACCTTGCTTTTTACCACAGTTAGTGTGTGCCAATAAACGTCAAACGTAGTCCAAAATTTACTCGTTCTTATCCCCTTCGACCTTATCATAGTAGCAATTCTTTCATAAAGCCTTTATTTTTAATCAAGCACAATAAGTTTCGTATCTTCTGCTTCCAACAGTTAAAATGCATTTATGCAGCGTGACCAACAGGTGATTTTTTTCGCCACTATGCAATTTAATGCAACACTATTTAATTTATTTCTGTCTGGACTTTTTATGACTCTGAGAATTTTAAATTTTAGAGCTGCACAGTTTGAGCACACTATCTTGATAACGGATTATGGAGCTGAAGTTCTTACTATTGACAAGGTAAGTGTACACTTTCATCATTTCCTGTCTCGCTGTACATGACCAAAGCAAAGAAAGCTGGCTATGTGCGCATGACCGATTACCGTTGCTACACTACCGTTATACCTTATTTTGGTTTGTAGCAGAGTCGTCCTCCACCCAATGCCCCTTTTTCGTCTAGAGGCATGGAGGTGATTTTGAAGGCGGCTTCGGCAGAATTGAACCAGTATGATGAGTCACTGCTAAGCATAATTAGGACACAAACACTCCAATGGTCTTGTCTGGATAGCCTCTTTACAATGGCTAACAGTAATTTTGTCGATGCCCATTTAGAGTAAAGTGTAGTTTGTATGTTTCTGTTTCTTTCATTTCGTGTGTTTTTAGACTGAGTACGTCAATGACTGGTACTCTTGTAGGCTTCCTCGATCGCACCAGGTTCAGATCTTATTTGATACGTGAATGCTTTTGTCGTTTAATGTAACTCTTATCGTTGACGGGGAAAAAGTGACTGTTCATCACAATAGATCGGCAAGATTAAGCAACAGTTTTTTAGCTTAGTTAATGCGTTGAAGATAATCTGACATTTCCCAAGCCTCCTTCATTATTGTCAATAATTAATGTCTAATTCTGATAATGTCTGATTCTGATAAAAATCTTTTTTTTGTCATAAAAGAGCTTCCCTTTCCTAAGCGCATAGCGCTGTATCTACAAATCTTTGCCATGGAAGATTCTTTTATCTTCCAGCTTTACTCCAGATTACAAATTCCTTGCATACATGTTCGATTAATTTGACAAAATCTGATTTCCTGTTTTTGGCTGAATTGACTGCCGTAATGTCGCTTTTGGGGCGAAATGCTTCAGAATACTTTTACTTTTTGTCAGAACGTTAACGATAAGTTTCGCTGATCATAGCATTAGAAGTTTTAAAGCAGCAACAATGATGATTGTATTCTGTTCTTGTTTCTACGAGAGAATAAGAAATCGGTAGTGTGGATAATGGCGTTCTTCATACCTGAGGCTATGGAATATGGCTTTATTTTCAGTTTTCTCGTCCTTCATGCCACCGAATCCTGTATTTTATGAAAGCATATTTATAACCACCGCCCTTGTCATCTTTGTTGTCATCACCAAAGTAATTATGTTTACCTCTAATTCCACTGTCGTTCCAACATTTTTCCAGTTTCCCTTTAAATGATACCATTAACGAAAGTTTTCAAAACTGATTTAGTTACCACTCTAGAAATAGCCTGCCAGTATATCTTTTTGTGCCAGTGTTTTTACATACCACTTCCTATATACGTCTACGTACCATTCAGCTCCGTCCCTTTAAAGTTTATTTTTCACACAGAAATCGCCATTCCACTGGCTAGATTCTCATTTCTCCTCGCTTCAACTCAGGCAAATTTTTTTTGTTCTCTTGAAGTTTGCTGCTGCTGATTCTAGAGCTTTCAGTGGAATTCGCTTCAAAGTGTAGCCTAAATTCTAAACCTTAATGCCAAGTGAACATGACTGTGATAAATTTGAATTATAAAGTTTTGCTTCTTCGTTTGCTGTAATGCGTTTCAAATTGGATTCCTTTCAAGAATCTATGGTATTTCGTTTTACACACCTACTGCTCAGCCCCTGGTTTCTTACTTACAAGCATTGCTAGTGAGTCGGGAGTACCGAAATTTTGTCACTCGTTTGCATATTTTCCATTTTTGAATAAAAATTGTGTGTTTTATGATTTAAGTCCAGGCAAACATCTCCACTGTATTTGGTAAGCCAAAAAGAAATTTTTTGTTTTTATTAGCCTTTTCCCCTTATCTTGAATCTCATGTTTTACATTATGCAGCAATCAAATATACATTTTACATCATTAGATTTGGGCTTGGTGACGTGGATTTTTCGGTGGAACCGGTTATATGGCAGGCAAATATTGCGACTGCTAGGAAAATTCAAAATTAAGAGTTGAAGGCCTATGAACTAAGACCTGATTCCTGTTATTACCATATTAAAAGAGATTAGATTTTAAATTTCCCTCTCTGTTCTTTTCGCTGATTTTTACCTGCTGAGTATCTTTGAACGAAATTCGGCTTTAAGAGAGATATGTCACGGATCAGCTGCCTTTCCTGCTTGAGATGCAGATGGCTTCTACCAAAGAATCTTTTTGTTAATGTAAAACTACCAGAAACTAATGATTTTTATCTTAAGTTACTTAAGGTATTCGTGCTTCTAAAGATATTTTATTGAATACTTTACACGGTGCTATTTTGAATATGTTATCTGCCAGACATCTTAATCATATCTTTCTGAAAATTTGCCAAAACTTTTCAAACTTCTGATTGAAACGATTTGCCTCCTAATAGTTGGTTTAAAGAAACTTCAAAAACTTACTTGAGATAGCAGGCAGGTATTCTTCTACGACTGGTACAGCCCTTCGAGCATTTCTGTATGTCACCGTGACGTGCATAGCGTCTCATCATAACCATTATTTATTTGCTTTCTAAGCTAGCATCAACAGCCAACCATTTCGCAAAGAGCGTCCTACATCATAGATCCCTGACGCCTCCGTTGTCGTCAAAACCGCCACCGTCACCGCCATTACAGTTTCCATGAAAGGCTTCCACCTTAGCAGCACAAAACCCTTTGCTGCAGTACTCGTCAAATCTAACATGATGAATTTTTCCTTATAACATGGCTTACCTATATCACCAACAGCAACAACATCGCAAAGCCACTGCTTTCAGTCGTCAATGAAGCTAAAGAACTTCAGCTATCGTCACAATACCTTTCCTCTTTTTTAATCAATTTGTTTCTTAGCACCTCCAGAAAACGCTGTTATTAGTTGCCACCATAGTAACGCTCTAACATAGTTACTCCAACATAGCACAATAATTAGCGCCGTTCCAATCACCGTCACGATTGCTGACATCAGGTCAGCTACAAAGTTACTTTGAATTACTACGACTTACCATCACAAATTACTGTCAGCTATCATCTGCAGCCAAAAGCGACCAACAGCTATTGCATCATCAGCCCTGTGTATGTTTTTAAATATGTTGCATATCAAATAGCAAAAAGTCAACCAACGGTGTGAGCAAGATATTTTCACAAATAAGCTTGCTTGTAAAAGAAATGACAAATAAGCTTGCATGAAATGTCCACTCATGCTAGTGTCCACTCATAACCTGGAACTGACCTTCTATCCTTGAACCCATCTGCTGGTGATTGAACTTTGTGGAGACAAATGTGATGCTCAATTCGCAACAAGGGGATAAGGCAATCGATGATAATGATGATGATGATGATTTTTGATAAATTGTATAGGTCCTTTCATTGCTACTAATTTTCCTTAAGTCTTGCTTGTCCACTCTAGTATGTTACTCGTGATATCAAGGTAAATACGATTTATGACCATTGAATCCGAGTGGATCAGAGCAGATTTTTTTGTAGAGGGTGATTCGACTTTGTTGTCTTCACGTTTAAAAAATCGTCGCTTGCCGTTGCATAACGGTCAAAATACAGCATAGAACATACTTCTCCTTTGCAACTCTTGCCATCATTTCTGTGTAAGAATTAGCATAATATTCGCATATGTTGTCATACGAATGAATGCCCGTAGTTTGTGTTTTTGCTTCTGCCCATACCGTACTTATTGACTCATTCACAAATACTGATAGCATTTTTGTTTAAGGATACAAAGAGCTTAATTTTGTCGTTGATCAACAACCATCTTCAAACAATTTTTGCCCTGCTATCAGAGTATATTTTTACCGTGCCCAAGCTTTGTATTATTTTCATTAACGAGTTGTTGTGAAATTATGAAAGGTATTGCCAACCTTGACAAAGCTATGGAGAACAAGACTAGCTAAAGACTAATGTTTGTGGAAGGACAAAAATCTTCCAAAACTTCTTTGGAACGTGGTGAATATTGTAGTTGATTCAGTAAAAATTCGTTTCTCCAATTCTTCATATTACATGTCATTATATGGCCCGATTTATTTGGACATCTATATAAAGGGAAAATTTTGAGTTATTAGTGATTGCCTGTCTTTTTTTATTTAAATGAAGTCCTCATGCTATGTTTTTACTGCATATGTCTTCATATGCACTTTAGTAGAAAGCTGTTTTTAGTATGATCGATTTTGTTTTGTCAAAACTCAAGTTAATGGGTTGCCCTGCTGGTTCGATACCTTAATTTGAACAAATTTTAATCCACATCGCTCTTTCTTTGTTAAAACGTGATCTTTGCCGTTATTTCCATGCCCTTCTTACATGCCACTTCCTGTTGATGACAAACATCTAACCCGCTTATTAATAGGGGTCAGCCGTCAAGCTAAGGGCCAAAAGGTATTCTTTTTGGTTTTCCTTCCTTTTGGCAACATGCAGTGTTATTAAGCTTCCAAATGCATTATTTGATCGCTTTACCGATTAATGATACCATTTCATTGGATTAGCTGTAATAATCTATAGGGGCTTAAGAGGCAGATAAAAGAGGTATGGCCAACCCATGCTGTCTGCTTTTAGGCATAGCTAGTTTTTGCATTTTTGAATGAAAGATGACAATAATGCATCCCAGCAAGATCAGCTCATGGCAGTAGACGTTTTCATTGTATTCAGTGATCATTGGTGGATAGAGCAAAACCGTCATCTACGCTATCAAATTGATTATTTGATAATTATATAAGCTGCATAGATGGGATTTTCAATAATTAATTTGACAGCAAGGTGCCAAGTTGTGCAAACTATGAGTCCATTTTTAATTGCCTTAATAGTTTTATCGTTAATCTGCTAGGTATGAGGCTCAACCTTCTAGTTTTATCGACGTGCTTTTTCTGGAGGCAAATGTATTGAACTTTTGCTCCTTGTATTTTGACGAATTTTTGTTGTGAAGCGTCACTTCAGCAACAGAGTTAAAATTTCAGAAACAAAAATTGAAGGACGAAATGTATTTTTGATTGCTAATTGTCCAGTTACTCCATCCAGCAGTCTTCCAATTTTCAACAAAGAGTGTGTGATAACGAATTCTTTCTTTCTTT